GCCTCCCTCTAGGTGGGGTGACGCCCCAGATTCCCCCAGTCTCCCCCCCGCCGAGAGATGACCTCCCCCCCGCCATCCCCATGGGGATGAGCCGCAGGCCCCACCCATCTCGCCCCCTCCCCGCCTGGCGCGGGGCTGCTCTGGTCACGTGGTGCAGGACTCCCCGAGTCACGTGCCGGGGGGTCCGGCGTTGCCGTGGCAGCGGCGGAGGCGGCTGGGTCTGTTTGGCGGCGGCGGCTCCAGGTCCAGCGCAGTCAGCGGGGCTGAGCGGACCCGCCCGGGCACGGCCCCCGCCGCGGTGCGTGAGTGCGGGGATGGCCGGGGGGGGGTCGGGCCCGGGGAGGCGCGGCGGGGGCTCAGTGCCCGGGTGCTGGGGCTCGTGCCCCGGGCTAAGGAGGGAGCTGACGTCCGAGACCCCCCCCCCGCCGCCCCTTGTCCCGGGGCTTGGCCTGTGATTTGGGGCTGTTCCACTTTCGGGTCCCAGTGCCGCGGGGGGGTTGGGCCAAGCCATGGCCGCAGCGGGGCTGGAGCCGCGTGTACAGCGGGGGGGCTCTGAGAGCCAGTGGTGCAAACCGTGACCCCCGTGTGGGAGGGAAGGAAACCCCTTCCCCCGGCACCCCATTCCCGTAGGCAGGCATGGCCCGGGGAGGTCGCGAAGCCAATGGAGATGGTGAAACCGGGCAAGCGTCCTGAAATCCTAGTGACCCTGCTGTGATTCATTCAGCAAATGATCCGGCAAAAGGCAATCGTCCTGTTTGCTACTCCCGAGTGCTGACTCTTGGTTTCATATGCAGAAAAAAACCAGTTGTGGCACAGGTAGGCTGTGGAGTTCTTATATCCGCTTGAGAGGGGCCTCAGAAAGAAAAAGGTTGAGGACCCCTGGACTATTAGACTGTGGAAGAGTCTCCTTGTCCCTTGGTCCAAAACATGACCTAGTGCTGGTGAATAGACTTTGGAGAACACTACTACGCTCTTCCACATCTGCCCTAACTTCCCTTTCTTTTCCATTCTACCAGAGGCAACAGCTGGTGGTCTCCTGTCCTGCAGTATGACAGGGGCAGGACCAGGATTCCTAGAATTACTCTGCCTCTCTACTCAGATGCCCAGCTAGTGATTACTGTGCAGTAAAACTGTTCTGTTAAGGACACCATCCATACAGGAATCTCCTGGGTCTCCTATCTCAGCCCTCAGAACCATCCAGTCATTTCCCTCTGCAGTCAGAAAAGGTGCTCCCACCAACGTTTTTGTTGCTTATCTGGCATTGGCCTTTTCTTATTTTGCTTGTTGCAGTGTTGTTCACATTCATTTTAGGTCATCTGTCCAACTGCTTGCACTCAGAGAGTCACAATCCTGTACTAACGGTATTTTTTTGAAAAGGGAAAATTATTCACCTGTGAATCGGCTTCTTGAAAATATCATGCTGGAGTCTCACTTACCATGTGGAGCCTCCTTCTCCTTCTTTGTTTGCAGGGATGTTTCTGTGATTTTGTTCTGGTTTTTATTGTCATGTGCCTTGGGATGGTTTTTATAGACATTTTATCTGATTTCTGAATGGAAATAAATTGGGAGGTCTTGCTTCCCGCACAGTTCAGGAGCGGAGTAGGAATACCCCAAGGGCTGAGGCTGTAGCTGCTGGTGCAAGCTGACCAGGAGGAGGGTCTTGCACTCGAACTATCACCATGTCAGAGGGCCAAAATCTGAAAGAATTTGCAGAGCACAAGACTCAAGAGTGAAAATCCTCTGTCATTGTATCTGCAAAATAGTAGAAATTGCTGGTGAGCAACTTTCCCTTGTTGACCACAGCAACCTACTCTATTCCTGGTTCACCATGGCATGTAGAAGTAACATCCATTTTAAAATAGTGTATGGAATGAAGACCGTTTCTACATATTGTTGGCATTCGAGTGACATTTACCTCCATCACTGCTTGAACCCCTGGGAAAATACTGGTTTATTAGTTGTTTGTAGTCTCCATTTGTACTGCATGGATGTGAATAAAAAGTAACTTGTGCCAAACTAAAGGCAAGGTGCTTTTGACCTTGAAGTGTGGTGCTGAGATGAATTAGTACCACGTCATGTGTGTTCCTTTTAGATACGTATAAATATTCATAGTGTTAAAATGCTGATGTGATCCAGTTCTGCAGTAGCTCCTGTGTGTTACTCTCATTGAGGTCAGTGGCAGTCTTGTTGGTACAAGGATTGATTGCAGGGTCAAGGTCTCTGTTGTTGATCTGAAACCTCCTAATTAGGATACGAGTTTCAAACTTGTGCTAGAGTTCATAAACCCTGCTCAGTTAAATTCTACTGTATGTCCATGTCCATGAGTAACACTGTGATCATACCCCAAGAGGTTGCTTTTTAAATAGCAATAAGGTTAACTCATAGTATTAATGAAGGTGATGTTTCGGTCATGGCCAGTGTTGTATGTGGTCACTTGAAATAGTCTTGCTGATTTAACTTGCTTTTCAGACAGTTGGTTGAATCTGATGATGTTTGAACATTTATGAAACTACATAGTTGAGAAGTAAAATCTGATTTCCCTTTAAGAATCACATCTTTTCCTTCACTAAGCGAGGCTGATGGAAGTAACGAAGCACAAATATTGGTCACAAATATTGGCTGATAAGCATGGAATGGGGTGAGTGGGTTAGGAAATCCACAGCTGTCCCTTTCAAGGTATCAGCCAGTTCAACTGCTGTACGCTATATGCCATTCAACTCCTTTCGTATCTTTGCAATCTCAGGTGGCGGGAGGAATTGTAAAATGAATTGTGCTCCATGATGTGATTGTTAAGTTCAGGGCAACTGCACCTCTATTCCCCCTCTATGGTCTAGCAATGGCACCCATTTTTAGGCTTCCAACTCCCACTTGTTACCTCTGTTGAGTAGAGACCCACTTCCCTTTCCCATGTGACTGGGGTTTTCCCCAGGCTGCACGGTTCCCTACCTACACTGTGGTATTCTCAGCAAACCAGACTTCCTAAACAGGCCCACAGCTGTACTTTACTTGCTCTTCGAAGGCTTACGACCAACTTAACTGCCAGCAGTTATGTTACCACACAGCTCTTTGTACGTGAACACGTTTATTCTGAAGGTGTAGGCATTACAGTGAAAACATATTAAAACAACAAAAGATTAGCATGTGTGTAGGTTAAGCGCTCAAACCAGAGCCTACAACCCCTCCCACTCCCCAAATTCCAACACGGACTTTGGTAGGAGTCAGTCCTTCAAAACCCACGCAGGGGATTTTCTGTGGTTACAAGTTCATACCAGCCTTAGCTCAGAATAGGTTAGTCCTTCCTTTATACAGCTTGGGCCTTTGATCTTGTGACTCTAGGACAGGTAATCAGTAGACAATGGTCCTCCCTTCAGGATGTAGCTTCAAAAGGCTGGACTTTTGCCAAACTGGAGGTGAGAATTTGCATTTGCTTCCCCCTAGAGATTCCCCAGGCAAACCTTTTGACACTGTTTGTCCAAAAGTCCATTTTTGTCTGGCCCATTGTTGAAAATAGTCCTCTGAAGTTCATAAAACTTCCCAGGTTGAAATCCCATCTTCCCCCCTAACGATAGTACATACAATCCCAGCCCACGTTAATACATAAAATTTGCCTTTGATACAATGAACTCCAAAGCTACTTACATTTAATTCAATAAGGTTTTTCAAGGATACTGCAGGAAATTGCCATCTCTTTCAGGGCGATTTAATTGAAAATGCTTCAATTTAGAAAATAATTAACATGGACACACTGAATGCAGTAGCCGATATTACAGCAGTGCTTTAATAAGAAGCTTTTGAGACACACCCATGATGCAGCATGGAATTAAACTGTGTCACTTTGGAAACAAAGTAGAAAGAACAAGCAAGGTTTAGATTGAAAAAATAAGGGCAACCATCTTAAAACAAACAAACAAACAAGAATGGGGTGGGGGGCAGAATTAAGCAATGGTTTAAAGTTGAAATGCAAACTGGCAGCAACCTAGAGATACAAAGGTTAACTGTCACCAGCCCATCCTGAACTCATGCTGAAAGTAGTTCACAGCCTTACTTATGTAGTCTTTCCCCTTGTAACTCCCATAGGCATTCACAGCAGTTACAGATGAGCAGGGAGGAGAGATTAGAGCTCTATATGCCATGCAATCTAGTTTACATCTACCTCCTGAGGGTAGTTTTTTTTTAATGTAGCTTTTTACTGAATTCCTATCCATACATCTTCTACAAATCAGGCTAATAAAACAGTCTCTGGGATTGCCCTCTCCTGTTCAATAGTTGTTGCTATCCTGAACATGCAAATGTTTTATTTCTCTAGCATTGCTTTCATCATGAGTTCCGAGTTAAATGTCCCGGCGGATCCTGCCACTCCTGCTTGCGGCTCTGAACCTGGCACAAAGGGCATGGATTATCGGGACTGGGTCCGGCGTAGCTATCTGGAATTGGTCACTTCAAATCATCACTCTGTTCAGGCCCTCGCATGGAGAAAACTGTACCTGAGTCGAGCCAAGCTCAAAGCTTCCAGCAGAACGTCTGCTTTGCTCTCTGGATTTGCTATGGTATGTATTTCTAGTTGCTGGATTGTGAATGTTGAGTTGTGTAAAATCTTCCTTTGTTAATAGGGGTTGGTTTCAGTACATAGAGCAGGACATTCCATTTCCTTATTAGGTGGTAAGGAATCGGAGTGTGTGCGTTTTTGTTGGTCTGCTGTTGAAAAGTTTTAACGCGAGACATTTGTTGCAGTGTTGTGATATCAGCTGCCTAGAAATAGTCTCAGGGAGCCCCCAAACCCAGGCCCCAAAGTATCAGCTGACCGGTCGCTAACTGGCAGCCAGCAAGAGTCTTTGGCATGAACAGAACACTTGCATAAGATGATGAAGTGATGAACCTCCCCCTTATCGAACCTCTGGATCTCACTCATTGGTGGATGGAACTGAAACTCCTATCCCTATGCATGCGCAGCAGATATGTGTGGTAGTGAGGAGGTGGAGCATCCTCCGCACCCCTAGTTCCCATGCCTACGTCTTCTGGGACCGACTGAGCTGACTAATCGCACTGGCCTGCGGGGGCCCCCCAAAGCACGGGGCCCAGAGCGGTTGCCCCGATTTGTCCTACCCAAGAGACGGCTCTGAGTGTAAAAATCAATAGTTAATAAGTTGGTTATTAGAACGGCCGTACTGGGTCTAGTCTAGTATCCTGTCTTCTGACAGTGGCCAGTACCAGATGTTTCAGAGAGAATGAACTGACAGGGCAATATATTGAGTGATCCGGCCTCTGTTGTCCCCAGCATCTGTCAGTCAGAGATTTAGAGACACCCAGAGCATGGGGTTGCATCCCTGACCCTCTTGGCTAATAGCTTGAACTTATCTCATTCTTTTTTGAACCCAGTTATACTTTTGGACTTCATAATGTCCCCTGGCAATGAGTTCCGCCGGTTGACTGTGCGAAGAATAACTTCCTTTTATTTGTTTTAAAGCTGCTGCCTATTAATTTCATTGGGTGACACTTAGTTCTTATGCAAAGGGGGAAATTACACTTTTCTCCAGGCGTGCTGGAACTAGGGACTTAGGGGTGCGGCAGCACCCCTTGTCTTGAAGTAGTAATAACAACCAAATATGTGGTTTCTGCTTTCAGTACCTCCACTATAAAAATTGTTCCAGCACCCCTGCTTCTCTATTCCTTTCTCCACACCATTCATGATGTTATAGATGACTATCATAGCCCTTCTTAGTTCTCTCTTTTCTAGGATGAAGTCCCAATCTTTTTAATCTCTCTGCGTATGGAAGCTGTTCCATACCCTTAATCATTTTTGTTGCCCTTCTTAGTATTTTTTCCAATTCTAATACATATTTTTTAGATGAATACTTGGGTGAATACCATCTGGTCCTGGTGACTAATTTGTTCCAAAACCTCCTTTGCTGACACCTCGGTCTGGGACAGCATCTCAGATCTGTCACTTTGAAGGACTGGCTCAGGTGTGGGGATCTCCCACACATCTGCTGTAGTGAAGACTGATGCGAAGAATTAATGTAGCTTCTCTGCAATGGTCGTGTCTTCCTTCAGTGCTCCTTTAGCACCTCCATCGTCCAGTGCCCCACTGACGGCTTGGTAGGCTTCCTCCTTCTGATGTACTTAAAAAAAATTTTTTCACTGTTAGTTTGTGTGTCTTTAGCTAGTTGCCCTTCAAATTCTTTCATAGCCTGCTTTATTTTATTTTAAAATACATTTTACTTGGCTTGGTTGTACTTTTGCATGTGACTTGCCAGAGTTTATTCTCCTTTCTGTTTTCCTTACAAGAATTTGGCTATTAGGCACTATTAGAATCTATAGGTAAAATCTGCTTCCTTTTAGTAGTATTTAGCATAATTGTTGTATGTCTTTAGAGAGAGAATTTTGTAGTAAGAACAGTGTCATTATCCTCGCTGTAATGAATTCTGCAACCTGATCTAGGCAAACGGACCTTCTATGCCCCTGTGGAGTGTCACTGAAGTTCACAGAACTGCTCCTGGGCTCAGGGTCTACCCACACAGATCTGTTTGCAGGATCGGAAATCACAGTGGTCACTTTAAAAACAAAACACTACTTCTCAACTCACTGAACACAAACAGCAATGGAAAGTTCTCAGCAAATATCCAGTATAAACCATCTGACTTCTATTTATGGCATATTCACAAGGTGTTTAGATGTTTCTGCTAAAATTATCCACTTCACTTTGTGCTATTGGATCTGTTAGATTTTTTTTTCAATGCAACTGTTGTGAGAACTTCAGAGCTGACTCCAAGGAGTACTGGTTGTTTGGGTATATTTTTTTAAAAAAATGGAACAAAAATAGACCAAAATGACTTTCATTTTGGATGGCGTGCGTTTACATTCAAAGAAGTGGGATCTCTGGTCTTCGGTATTACTTGCAATATGTTTTCTTCATAAACCTAACTTTCAGAATATAGGGATTCCTTTAATTTGTGCAAGTTTTTTACTAATTTTTCTCCAACTGATAGAATTGGGCATCCCAGTTAACGACCATGGTATCATTTGCAGCCAATTTATTTCTGCTGCAGTAATTTGGTAGGCAAATACTTATTAAGCAGGCTGTGTACTCTGTCCTAAGAGAGGCAACAATCTGGCTATTGATGGAAGTAAAATGTATTCCGAAGTCTTATGTATATTTAAATATGTAAATAAAATAAGTCCAAAATAATGTAGTATGGGACGCAGATTCAGATCTTTTCACCACCCTGTTGCTGCTTTCAATTCAACACAGATCAGTAGTGGCTGAAAATTGTTACCAGCTGATAGCTGTTTAATGATCTATGTGAATCAAGCTGCTGGTCTGGGTCCCATTCCTATTGGGCAGGCATCCTATCACACACATCATCACAAATTGATGCTCTTATTGGCCGTTTTAGCGGAGAGGCCAAAGACCGAATAGGTCAGGAAGACAGAGCTCCTCTTTTTCTTGTAGGTATATTCCCTCTAGGTCTAGTTTGAGGCATGTTGTCAGGGCAGGTGGGGAAGGTCTGCATTGTCATTGCACCTGGCCTGTGACCACTGCAAACAGAGGGCCCCTGGTACCCGTGGTCTCAGTCTAGCACTAAATTCACTTTAAGAAGAAAGATCTTCAGAAATCCCCTTCATCATTTTCCTGTCTGAGATAACAGCTGCTTCTGCAATCAGCCTCCTTGGCTTGTTGTCAAATTGCTCTGAGATTTGTCCAGGTTTCTCCCCCCCCGCCCAGATCTACTGGCCTGACTATTTGCAGAGGCTGCCCAACCATGTGCCTGACGGTAATATATTTGTGTTCAGAGTTACTGTCAACATCTTGCCTCACAGCATCAGTCCTAGCCCCATTTCTGAAGGTAAGAGAGTTCTCTGTCATCGTGCTATGGAGAAGCCAGGGAGTATATTGAACTAAATGATGTGATGATGGAGAAAAAAATCAAGAGCTCAATCCTGCAAGGACCCTGAGCCCTTTGCCTTGCCCAGCGAAAAACTTAAGTGCCTGCTTAGCTTTAAATGCATGAGTAGTCCCATTGATTTCAATGCTGCAACTCACAAGCTTATAATTAAGCACATGCTTAAGTTCTTTGCTGTGTCAGGGCAAATTGCTCAGCAAATTGGGGGATCGAACTCTAGGTATCTCTAGCTACATTTCCAGGGGCAAGTTAAGGGAGTATAAGGCCCTGAGGCCAGGGTGAGACAATGTAGTGTTTGATACAACACTATGTTAAATATTGAGAGCCTAATGACACCTACAGTTTAGGAACCCAGAGGCTATGCGCTCTCAATGGTCCTTGCCGGTCATTCTGTGTCGCTATACGAAGAAGAAAACTGCAATCTCCTTTCTGCCCTAACTCTTGTGTTTAAATGGTCTGATCCTGTGCCTGCCTGCCTCCCTCAAGGTCAGAGTTTATTCTCTCTCTCAAAGATGTCCACCAGTGACTGCTTGAATTAACGATTCCAAGACTAACTTCGAGCTGTCTAAATTGTCCAGTAAAATATTTTATTTTACAGAGAGATTAAAATAAACTCTAGGTATAAAAATAAACTTGACTAAATGACTAATATGGAAAATTTTACCAGGCTGACCCTATGCTGAATTACATGTACTGAAACATTTACCAGGACTTCTAGCATGTTAGCTTGTCCTTTTTCTCTGATTTTGACCAGAGAGTAACGACAGCCTTTGAGGGGAAAAGTGCTAAGAGGAGACTGCGTTTCTTCAGTACTTGTTTGGGCTAAATAAAATCTCTTCCTCCTTTTCTTCCACCTCCCGTTGTCCATCTTCCTCTGGACTGTTGTTGCTTACCTGTGAAATTTCACAGAGTCATCAGTCAATCTTAAAGATTCATCAGTTCACACCACTAAGGCCAGCCTTAGGGAACGTTAGCGTGACAGGGAGCACCCAATCAACTGGAAACTGTTGTCCGCACAAAGGGTAGCAATTGCAAGTGGAAACTGATATTTTGGCAAGCCAGGCTGATTAATAAAAAGCCTTAAATCCTATATATAGGTAAAATTCCTGTCCAATATGCTGAATACTGTATATGTCCTTTGGGTCTGGTACTCTCCCTCAAACAACTGTATAATTTTTCCAGTCTAATATGGTGTGGTTGACATGCAGCATTGTAGAACAGCAAAGTGGAGAATGAGAGTCCTTTTTCACTTTGGAACTCAAATAGTTGAGGGCTGATGGGTCCCTCGCTGAATCAACACAGAGAGAATTACAAGGAGAGAACGTCTGCAAGCATATTTCTAACAAAACATACATTTTGATTAAAAGATTCATGCTTGTAATGGATGGCAAAGCTAAAACCTTCATTAATTTTGTCAACATATGAAGAGAGCTCATTTTTAGAGCCAGTGAAGAGCCCTGGAAAGCGGTATGTAAACACTAGTGAAAGGATACAATATTTCTGGAGATTCAGTATCCAAAACACTTGATGTATTTACTGAAATGAGAATCATATGATCATAGAAATGTAAGACTAACGGGACTTGGAGAGGTCATCTTGTCTAGCTCCCCCATGCTGAGACACCTCCAACTATATCTAGACCATCCCCTGACAGGAGTTTGTCTAACCCAGTGATACTCACTCAGACTGTGGCTTGTGAACTGCAAGTGGCTGTTTAATGTGCCTTATTTGCTGTGAGAATAACATATATTATATATAATATACACAGACACTAAATATTTCCCCTGTCATACTGTTTAAATGTGAATAGTACTATAGTAAATGAAACCATGAATTTACACTACTCTCGCTCTTTTGGGTAATGTTGATCACCAATTTGGCTCCTGAACCACTGAGGTCTGAGTATCACTGATCTAACCAGTTCTTAAAAACCTCCAATAACTGGGATTCAACAACCTCCCTTGGTAACCTAGTTACAAAGCTTTTCCTCGTATTTAGCCTATCTCTTCCTGGTCACACATTAACCTGATGATTTGTCTTACCTTCAGTGACCATGGAGAACAATTGATCACCATCCTTTTTATAACAGCCCATAACATATTTGAAGACTGTTAGCAGGTCCCCACTAAGTCGTCATCTTCCCAGGACTAAATGTGCCCAGGTTTTTTAATCTTTCCTCTTAAGTCATGTTTTCTAAACCTTCTAACCTTATTGCTCTCCTCTGGACTCTCTCCAATTTGTTGGAAGTCCAAGAACATGGAGATTCACAGTTTCAGTCACTGTAGGAACAGGTTTTGTTCAGCTAAATCAAAAATAACAATGTCACCTGTGTACACCGGTATGCTGTATGTATTTGCTAATACGACTTTCCTGCAAGCTTCTAATCAGTCTGCTGGTGGTTTCAGAGTAGATGGTAGGTAGAAAGGTCAGTCACCCTAGCCTAGGCCCTAGTCTTGTTCCGCTGAAATTAACTGCAGAGCTTCCGTTAACATGAGTGGAAACAGGAGTGTATCCCTGGACTCCCAATGCATTTTAAAGGGTCTTGTAATAGGACGTACCCCACAATAAATGAATTGAGGTATTGTGTAGAGCCTGGAACAGCTATTCAAGACATGTTTCAAATGGAACCTTTGTAAAAGTGGGGACACTTGGCCCAATGAAATCCATTCACCCAGCGCTATGGTCAAGCTATTCATTCTGCCTCCACTAAGCTCCTGTAAACATACTGAGGTCCCTCCTGACAGGGACTGATCTGGTGCTGGTATCCAAAAACCATCCCTGTTTGATCCTCGTTTGTTAACAGACATGGGTGATGGGGCCTTACTGGAATACAAGATCAGGGAGAGTATGAGCCAACACGTTTGTTTTTATTGCTTTGCTTACTGACATGCTTTGTTAATCAGTGTAAAATCAATAAATACAGCTGCAAACAAATTTGAACAATATGCTGGAGGCTGACTAGCGGAGACGTATAGTATCTGACTGCTACTGTTATACAGGGGCATTGCACTTACATAGCTTCTCGTAACTCTGGATTTTCTGAGTGTTTTACAAAGATTAAATTTCACAGCAAACCTGGGATATAGTTATGCTGAGCATTTTTCTTGTTATAAATGGAGAAACTGAGTCACAGACAGGTTGAGTGACTTGCCCAATTTCACCCAGCAAGCCAGTAGTAGAGGTGGACTGGCATTTGAGTCCTGACACCCAATCCTCTGCTCTGTTGAACATGCTCCATTCTATTTTTTACATGGAGCTTAACTTAATGAAGTGATAAAACTCAACAGTGTATGGGCAAAATGATCAAATACACTTTATAAAGTGAGCGTCTGTGAAGCTAATTTCTGTAGAGTACATTGGAAACAAAAGTGCAAGACAACTCCCACCTGTTCGTGCTCTCTGTATGTGTGTATATATATCTCCTCAATATATGTTCCACTCTATATGCATCTGAAGAAGTGGGCTGTAGCCCACGAAAGCTTAAGCTCTAATAAATTTGTTAGTCTCTAAGGTGCCACAAGTACTCCTGTTCTTTTTTCACTTATATGGAGTTACTAAGCATGCATAACGCAGCTATCATCCATTTCTCTTGAATATTCAGTAGTTATTGGAAACTGAGAAAGATACTCTGGATGGAAATAATTTCCTTGATCTGGCTATATTTGTGGTGGCATAAGGATTTAAAATAATAGGAGGCACCCATTTAACCAAGGATTAGTTAAACTATTCAATAGCTTGAGAGATAGTATCACCTATCCAATGACCAGAATTACAACTTTTCTGACTTAACCCTTTTTACACCAGAAGTCAGTGTTTCCTATCATGTGACTACTAATGATGCAAACTGAAACTATGTGATGAACTGCATGGTTGGCTGCGCTGTTATCTGTGCCAAAGTTACACTTGCTGCCTAATAAATTCCCCTTTTGAGCCTTTTATTTGATGCTGTTCACATGGGTCACAATTTAAGGGAGAGTTTGCTTAAAAAAAACAACCGTGCAATGTTGAAATAATTTCCTGTGGGCTTGGATGTAACTTTGTGAGTTAGCCTCGAGAAAGGGAAAGATACAGACTGTTCATGCATCTTCAGGAAAAAAAGGAATGATCCATTTAGGCCCCAATTCAGGAAAGCACTTAAGTATGTGCTTTAAGCACTCTGAATAATGATGCTTTCCTGAACTGGAGCCTTGAAAAGTGAAATATGGGAATTCTAGCAACTGACCATCCTTTTTTCCCCCTCCCCCCCAGGTTGCCATGGTGGAGGTGCAACTAGAGATGCAGTATCAGTACCCCCAAATGCTGCTGATTGCGTTCAGTGCCTGCACAACAGTGCTGGTAGCAGTTCATCTCTTCGCCCTTCTCATCAGCACCTGTATACTACCTAACGTGGAAGCGGTGAGTAACATTCACAACCTAAACTCCATCAGCGAATCCCCACACGAACGCATGCATGTCTACATAGAGCTGGCCTGGGGTTTCTCCACAGTCTTGGGAATCCTCCTTTTCCTCGCTGAGGTGGTGCTTCTGTGCTGGATAAAATTTCTGCCTGTGGACTCCATTATGAAAAACGAGACTACCGTCATCCAAAAGCCCAGCGGCCATGTGGGCTGGCAAGCGGCTCTGGTCTCCACCATCATCATGGTCCCAGTGGGTCTGATTTTTGTTGTTTTCACCATTCACTTCTACCGTTCTCTGGTGCGGCACAAAACGGAGCGACATAACCGGGAGATTGAAGAGCTTCACAAACTGAAAGTGCAATTAGATGGACATGACAGAGGGTTGCAGGTAGTGTGACAGAGGAACAGGGATCTGTTTCAAAGCAAATCATTTTGCTGAGGCGAAGAGCAAAATAAATATTTTGCTAACATGAGCAACCCAAACCAATGATGGATTATTTGGGGGTCTAACAAACTAAAATGTGAATTGCCTGATTTATAGGGCAATGGGTTCTAGTGCTTTTCCAAACTAATGGGGTCTCTGGCCTATTTCTAGTCCTACACAATTGTGTACTTAAGTTGATACTGCCATACAGTTAAAAACCAAAACGTTACCTACTTTAACATTATGTTCTGGAGGGTGGTTTCCAAATTGTTATATTTTAACAATGCAACCTTCTTTGGCCAAGAGTGAAACTACTTGACACTTCAAAGAAAGCCACTGTTTCTGTAGGATCTGTTTGTTTGGGTTATTTTTAAGTGTCCGCGCTCTCTTGCTGGCTGTGCAGCAGCAAACTGACAATGACTGTTTCCAGGGTTGAGGTGATAAGTAGTGCTATCGACTACAAATCCGAGGACATTCTGAATGCGCTGCAGAACATGGGTGTGTTACCTTTATTATAAAATGGGTATGACAGAAACCGCTCACTAGAATGATGCAAGAGGTTAGAAATCAGCAGTCTTAGTACATATGTCCTCCTTTTGCTATCCTCTCTTGCTAGTGCCTAACCCTCCTTTAGAACAGGGGAGAGAGAATTTCAGACTGGCAGGAAGCTCTGTTTTTGCCTGCTTCAGTAGTGTCCATTCTTTTACAATGAATGCATGCCAAGATCTTCTAATGTTACTGATAATGAAAGTTGGTGTGTCCAGGGAAGGCTTACAGGTATTTTCATTTTAACAACAAAGACATTGTTAAAGCAGGAAACTAACTGGGAATTTAAAAAGACCTGGCATAGAATTTCGAAGGATTAGAAAAGCAGATTTAAAGGGGTGAGGAAAGATAGCACATAACACAGTGACAGATTTCAGCTGTATGCTTTCTTCATTTGCTTTGTATATACCAGAATGATTCATGTGTTTTGCTGGCCTGGTTTGTCACAGAGGGCTCGGAGTCCAGATCCTGTGCTTTTCCCTTGTTCTTTGTGCTAGTTGTGCCTGAGAGCATACAGCATTCTTACCTCTTAGGGAAGAAAGCATCTTGCATTTTCTCAAACAACACATACCCCTTGTGGCACATGGAGCTGCATTTTTGAGTTCAGGGTGAGCTGCAAACAGCCTTTGCCATTCCAAAGGGAAAGCTGCGTGCAGTTAAAGTACTATCACATTTCACTTGTTGGCTGTATTTCAGCAGTGGAGGAAGTGATTCTTGTTTGTGCTTATGTAGCTTAGTGAGTGAAACTTGTAAAGCGCTGTAGCATCTTTCTGGGTGAAAGTATTAATAAAGTCCCAACTAATTACAACTACTTCACGGGGAGGCAAAATATTCTTCTGCAATCAGTAGCTTGATTTTAGTTTTTAAAGGAAAAGTCATACGTATTTCAGCTACAGAAATATGTCAAAATATTTAAGCAAAATGGTCCGGTCCTGTCTCATCACGCTCCGTAATCTGCAGGCGGCTGCCAGTGCTAATTTCAGGCCTTACTCCCTTGCATTCTATAATAGTCTTACAATTTCTGCCAGTTCTTGAATATTTCTAAAATAATTGAAGAAGTTTGTAATGTTCTATTTAATCCCCTCCCTTTAACCAGTGGTATTTAGGAAATATGTCAGTGTATGAAGTCAGATTCCCAGCATGGAGTGTGTGTGAAATAATGCGTGCAGCAAGATGAGAATGTAGCTTTAAATATCTCTCTCTGACAAGTTCCTGGAAAGCCAACTCCAATCCTTTTTTTCATTTTAATTCAGTCATTCCTGGGCAAGCGGCTTAGCGCGTGTCTGTTTTTTCATCCGTTATTCTTACCCCCATCAACATGGGCCATGTTTACATAGGACTACCTACTACTTTCCACATACACAATATAAGGACCTTGTTCCTGTAAGGGGTAGTTTTAAAATTCCTGCTAAAGCTCCTGAATGTAATTTCAGTGAGCTTCCATACCAAATGCTAATACACTTCCTTATATGTAGTACCTCTATCCTAAGGACCCCAACGTGTTTTGAATGTCACCCAGTAATCTCTTCATCCGTTATTGAAATGTAGCCACTATTTGACATTGCACAGGTACACCATGCAAGTTTTAGGATGGAACTTTAATTCTGATTGCAGTTGAAATTGCTGGGATAGTTTAGGTAAGTAGAATATAATTACCTGATGTGGAGGTTGGCTAGGGCATTAGGGTTGAATTCTGTCCCACCTCACCCCTTTTCTCATCTCACCACAGTAAAAATTAGTATTGACATGACAAAACCAGATCAGGATCACAGTAATGAAAATCAGATTTTCAAATGTAGTGGTATGAAATTTTTCACAACCTTAAGTGAAGTAGCTAGGTTGACTTAAGTTTTTGGTGTAGACCAGGCCTCAGGCTGTGCCTAAGTTTGTCCACTAGAGCAGCGGTTCTCAACCAGGAGTCTGGGGCCCCCAGGGGGGCCGTGAGCAGATTTGAGGAGGGCCGCCAAGCAGGGCTGCCATTAGACTTGCTGGGGCCCAGGGCAGAAAGCCGAAGCCCCAAAACCCCGAGCCCCATCACCCGGGGCTGAAGCCTGAGCAACTTAGTTTCATGGGGCTACCTCCTAATGCTGGTCCTGCCTTTTATATGCAGAAAAACAGTTGTTGTGGCACAAGTGGGCCATGGAGTTTTTATAGCATGTTGGGAGTGGGAGGCCTCGGAATGAAAAAGGTTGAGAACCCCTGCACTAGAGGCTGTCTCCTGCAGGCCAGTAGGATGATTTGGCCCTCCAGCTAAATCAAATCATCCTCTGCCGTGGCAAATAAAGTCAAAACAAGAACAAGCAAGATTCAGGCCACATCCCTGCCCAGTGTGTGTGTGGGCATTAATCTTTCCCCTGGCATCAATAGTTCTTTTACTGCTTGGCTGCAGGGGTCCACGACAGCCAGGCATTCCTAGATCCTCTCATCAGCTTTTTGCCAAGGCTCCTCTCCAGCTCCTGCCCCAAGAGTAGTGGTTCCTTTTCTCTTTCTCCTGTGCCTCTTCATCTTCCTCTAATGTGTCTTCATCCTCACCGCTCTCGCGTACAGACTCACTGACGTGTGTTCCTTAAAGGTTGCATATGGTGTCAGCCACAGCAACGGGAATTGTAGTTGATCCAAAAAAGGGTGTTTGGCAGCATGGTGAAACTCAGCCGTTTCCCAAGCAATGTCTGAAGCAGTATGAGCTTGTTTTAATTAGACTTTTGCTAAGGCTTCATGGAGTTGAGCCCTATCGTGGCCAGCTGGGCGTGTCTGAGCCACTATGCCAAAAATTCCAGCAGCTGCTGCTTGTCTTCGCACGAACAGGATTTCCAGTAGTGAAGTTTGTAAGTGCCTTTTCTGTTTCCTTCCATTACATTCTCAGTTGTCTCAGTTTACCAGTTGTTGTCTTGCATTTTCCCCCACTGCCTCTAGTCCCTCTATTCCAGATTTCACCCCTGGGACCTCCCTATACTGTAGAGCAACAGTTTGTCTTCAACTCCCAACTGCTTGCTTCATGATTCCCAGGGCCACATTCTGCTTATATCTAGCTCTGTTCAGGCTTTCTCCCTGGCTTCTTCCTGCAGTCTTCTACTCAGCCCCTCATGGACTCTGCTCCTGATTCTTTGCCGCAGGGAGCCACCAGTGGTTTCGCTGCAGATCCCTGATGACTGCTCTTCCCCAGGTCTTCTTCTGAGTCTTCTCAGGCAGTTCCTTCCTTGGCTCCCTTTTAGCAGGGAACCATGGAGGCCCTGGCTCAAGCTATCCTTGATGAGCCTTCCCACCTAGCTGCTGCTCTTCTCAGGTCTGTCTCCCCTGCTGAGGGAAGGAAACTACCTATCTAGGTACTTATAAGGCCCCTCCTCTTCATAGCGTTGAGGCACCTCTTATTACTTAAAAAGGTGACAATGATCTCTCTCTCTCTCTTTCACTGCCACCAAGTATCAGGCTTAGAGTATTTCTGAAAAGAATGAATTTGAGAATGAGGGCACTATTGTGGGAAAGTCTAGGGGAAGAGATGGGTTTTATACTTGGCTCTGAATACATTGAGGTTAGTGGCTGTTCTGACTTCTTGTGGAAGTGAGTTCCATATTTTTAGTCCAGACCCTGTCTCCCATAGTTACAAACCTACACCTATTGGTCGACAGTATCATTTTCCCATGAAAACACAGTGGTTGGGAGGTCCTTATCACACAGGGAGATATGTGGTCTCAGGGGTTTGGGACCAGTTCTGTGTAGAACTTTGAAAATCAGGACTGTGACTTTTTGAACTGGACTGTCTTCTTTGGGAAACCAGTGTAGAAAGCAGTGTGTTGGGGTAAGAACATGAGAATGGCCATACTGGGTCAGACCAGAGTTCCATCTAGCCCAGTATCCTGTCTTCCGACAGTGGCCAATGCCAGGTGCCCCAGAGGGAATGAACAGAACAGGTAATCATCAAGTGATCCATCCCATTTTTCCCATTCCCAGCTTCTGGCAAACAGAGGCTAGGGACACCATCCCTGCCCATCCTGGCTCATAGCCATTGATGAACCTATCCTCCATGAATTTTTCTAGTTGGTTTTTTTGAACCTTGGTATATACTTGGCGTTCACAACATTCTCTGGCAAAGAGTTCCACAAGTTGACTGTGCATTGTGTGAAGAAATACTTTATTTTGTTTGTTTTAAGCCTCCTGCCTATTAACTTCATTTGGTGACCCCTAGTTCTTGCGTTACGAGAAGGAGTAAATAACACTTGCTTATTCACTTTCTCCACACTAGTCATTATTTTATAGACCTCTATCATATCCCCCCTTCATCGTCTCTTTTCCAAACTGAACAGTCCCAATCTTTTTAATCTCTCCTCATGTGGAAGACGTTTCATACCCCTAATCATTTTTGTTGCCCTTTTCTGAACCTTTTCCTGTTCCAATACATCTTTTTTGAGATGGGGCAACCACATCAAGGTGTGGGCGTACCATAGATTTATGTAGAGGCAATATATTTTCTGTTGTCTTATCTATCCCTTTCCTAATGATTCCCAACATTCTGTTCGCTTTTTTGACTGCGGCTGCACATTGAATGGGTGTTTTCAGAGAACTATTCACAATGACTCCAACATGCACATTTAAATCGTTGCTGCCCCCAGATAGGAGGGGGAAACAATGCAAGCAGATTTCGAGAATCTAGATCTTTCTTAGGGAAATGAAGTTTACTCTAGATAATAAGAAATAATAAGTCTAATGCCAAGGCTGGCTTATGTATGACAGAACAGTAGTCCAGACCAAAGATTTGGGGGTCATAATAGGGAAAAGCTCTTAAAGGTACAGTGGACTTCGTTTTCATCTCCTCAATTGTTTCTTTGCAAGTACCTGACACAGTTAGGATCGCTAAGCAGGTTAAGATACGATAAGATGTGCTTTGGCTCTCTCTGATGGGGACTTTTTGGAAAGATTCGCAAAATCCACTTACTGTCTTACTGAAAGCAGGGTTAAAAAGCAAAATTGTGTTTTTAATTTTCAAAAATGGCCCAATGTACTGTATTGTGCACATGTGGGGTTTCTAACCAAACTATTTTTGAACACGGCTACAAAAAAAAAATGGCTGGAGTCTGAAACGTGGCTGGGACATAAATCCTCCGAGGATGTGTGCCTTTGTTTTGTGGAGGAAAGAGATGACATTGAAAAACTGATTAAGGAAAGAATCACATCTGAATATGCTCATGGTGCATCTGCTAAGATTTTAGTAGAGCCTATTGAAACACGCTCCCTCTTCAACATCACTTAAATTCTCCCTGCTAGCGGAGGGCCCAGACAGGGACATCAGCTGGTGCTAGGACTGTAAATGTGTCAGTGGAGGATTTTGCTGCAAGGAAAAGATGAAAAGTGCAGGTGCAGAAAAGCAAAAAGCCCATGATTTCAGAGTGCCTCTGATGCAAATTACAGTGTAAACGGCAAGAAAACTGTTTCCAGCCCAAACAGTGACAGCCATAAAGGTGAGAATTCTCTCCCCTTCGGTACTGAAATAGGTATGGTCTTCAAAGCCAAATTAAGGTAAGAATGACAACACGGGGTCAGACCTAGCTCAGTATCCTGTCTTACGAGAGAGGCTGGTGCCAGATGCTTCAGAGGGAATTAATAGAACCGGACAATTATTGAGTGATCCATCCCCTGTCATCCATTCCCAGCTTCTTGCAATCAGATGCTTAGGGACATCCAGAGCATGGGGTTGCATCCCTGACCATCTCGGCTAACAGCCATTGATGGATCTATTCTCCGTGAATTTATCTAACTTTTTTTTTTTTAGATAATTTTTTTTTTAACCCAGTTATACTTTTGGCCTTCACAACATCCCCTGGCAATGAGTTCCACGGGTTGACTGTGTATTGTTTGAAGAACTACTTCCTTTTGTTTGTTTTTAAACCTGCTGCCTATTAATTTCATCAGGTGACCCCTGGTTCTCGTGTTATGTGAAGGGACAAATAACATCCATAACACAAGACTTAAATAAACAAATAATTGTCATTGTGCCTGGAGTGGGTCACGGCTAAAAATGCCAAACTCAGGACAGATTGTCAGAAAATAGGGCAGACCCCCGAAACTGGTGGTATATTCTACCATTAGATTTTACCAAGACAGTAATAAAATATGCTCCTGGAGCATTATACTAATTTTACAAGGGAGCCACAAACAATTCCCTTAGGCATTCCAGCCCCTTATTACCGCCCGGACAAACCGGACTTCTGTGATGTAAGGTTATTAAAACGAAAAAAACACCACACATTAGGTTCTACCCAGGTCAGTGGATGCTCAGGACCTTATATGAGAAACAACTCTGTAGCCAATCCTTAGTAAACTAACTAAAGATTTATTAACTAAGAAAAGAAATGCGTTATTAAAAGGTTAAGACATATTACTGTTGGATCAGAGAATGTAGTCCAAAATGTTAGCAGGGATGTTAAATTTGCTAGTTTCTTATAAGTCTCTCTGGGTTGCCCAAATAGCTTTGGGACCTCAGTCCTTTTGTTTAAAACTTCCCTGGTCAGAATTCACCATCCAGAGATGGGGTAGGAAAGAGGTGGCCAGGAGCCTTTGTTCTCTCCTTTTGTATCTTGACCCTTTGGTTTTGCTGGAAAAATCCTGGCTGTCTCAAGGGGTTGAGCAGTTCCATGGCATAAGTGCTTTGCCCTCAGTTCCTCCTATGAATTTCAAATCTTTGCTTGCCCCTTTCTGCATACATGCCGTCTGAGGTGTCTTTACCCTTGTTTACAGCTTCTTTGTCATTCTGAAGAGCTAATCTGTGGGTGTTTCTCAAGCTCACAACGTGTTTGAGTTACAAATATATATCAACATTTCATAACTTCATATACAACGATGATGCATTCAAACAGGACAATGAGTTTCAGCAAATTATCACTTTTTAAAATGATACCTTACAAGGCACACTTTGTACAAGATTTATTACAATTTTGCAACAGCGGTGACCATGTTAGTGTAAACGGCCACCTTCCTCTTTAGACTGCATCACAATAATAATAAGACAAATACAAATTATTTGTCAGGAAAGGAAAGGCACCAGACAACAGTAATGCAGCATCACAGTTTTGATCTTGCAAACATTTGAATATCTTTAAGCACATGAGTACGCTCGCTGAACTCGTCTGTAGTACTGGAAGGGTTGGGGCCTAAGGCTGCTCACTTAAAATCACAATCAAGATACAGAGTTTTGGAAGGGATAAAAACTCCAGATGCAAGATGGTGCCAATCTGATTCTTGGGGATTTGGATGAGACTTGCATGGGGGCAGACCACATCTGCCTACTATGGGGTTCTGGCATCTTCCTCTGAAGCATCTGGTGGAGGTTCTGTCAGAGACAAGATACAGATGGACCTCAAGTCTGATTCAGTCTAGTAATTCCTGTGTTCCTATGATTAAGATGTCTTAAACACCATGGATGAATTAAGGTATGGCATGCATTTTACAATACGTGGTAGTAAGATGTGGGAAGGTAGAATGCACACCACCACAGAATTAATATGCTTGACTTTGTGACTTTAGCAGTGTATCCTTAGGCTTTGATCCTTCAATTTACAACACGCAGATGGATGCTGTGTCCGTGTGGAGCCATATTGATGTCACTAGGGCTCCATGAAAGCACAATAGTCTGCCATGCAATGTAAATTGCAGGACTGGAGCCTACGCTCCTTGTCCAATATTTTTGTTTTGTATTTCAGGACATCCATCCTCCTGTCTCCCCCCTCTCCTATTTTAAATTCTCATGCCCTCAACATTCCCCATTTCATACCTTCCCTATCCTCCAAGCTTTGTACCACGGCCACAAGCCCCTCCCCTCCCATTCCTTTCAGCCAGAGAAACAAAGAAACCAGTTCTATCCCCCAAGTGCCAGCACAATCAGGCCAGCCCATTTATTTTCTAATTAACTTCTCACCATCAATCTCCTTTGTGTCCACTTCAAAGTTAATACTCTAAATCATTTGATAACCATCTGAATATAGCAAACATCTACATTAATATCTGTACATACCGTTCAAAGCTCACCTTTGCTTTGATTCTAACAACTGATATCGAGAACAAAATGTTGAATAATTTAAGTGCCAGGAGAAAACTTTTGAAGTCTGTGGGGCTAGTTCCTGTTCCAGTCTTGCTTTATCTATGCATGGAGTATTTTATGGAATACATATATATCCTAGGCTGTATCTAGATGTGTGACTAATAAAAACCCCTCCTATGTGAAACTGGATAAACATTTTCTAAAGTATAGTGGCCTTTACACTGTCATGCTGTTTAAGACTATATTTTTGAAGGCTAGACTGAGTTATCCAGTGTCCTGTATGAACAAAGAAAATATAATAGTACATTAGGATGTTGACTTAATTTAATTAATTTGACCAAACGTGGTAGGCTCCCCCTTTCTAAAATGTACAGGATGCACGTCAACTTGATAAATTTGATTTTTGAGAAGGATCCTGTTCTTGGAATATGTTTACAAGCACTAATCTAGGTTAAGAAAATATACTGCTCTGATAGGAGTTACTGTTGCATTGAACTTTAATAGTTTAAATGTATTACATTAACTGCATTAGCAAAGAAGACCAAAACTCTTCTTAGCAGCTACTAGTTACAGATTAAAAACCTCTTTCCACAGATCTCCACAATATCTGATCATCCGAAACAACTATTAATGTCTTTACAATGCTGCCATTCTGCCTTTTCAGGAGAGAACGTGCATATGCTTTTCACAAATCAAAACAGAGCCACCCTGTGTGTTACTGATGCCATAGCAGCATGAAATGCCAGGCTTACAGCTATTGCATTCAGGAGCTCCTTAAACAGGTGCCCATGTCAGTGTGTACCTAGGAAAAGTATGCACTAAGATGCAGCAAGAAGCAAACAGTGACCAAATTAAACTCCAGCCTCTCTAAAATACATAGTATAAAACCCTTTAGTTTATAGTTCAGAATATAACAACATTAGTTCATTCGGAGTCTCTCTAGTCTGTTTTCCTCAGGGCAGGGACTGTCTTCATTTAGATTGTACAGGGCTGAAAACACAGCCAATAAACACATGGCAAAATGTGAGCCAAAAGATGCATTACAATTTATCTTCTTGTTATGGAGTTAGGTTCTCCATGAAACCATTTGGTATCCTACCTTGAGATTAAAACAACGGGCATATGTAGTATTTTAGCAGTGGAGTGAGAGCACAGAGCGTAAGTTAAAGGAAGAATGGTTAATGACTGAAATATAAGGACCAAACACTAATTTAAATATTCTGTCTACTGTCGCTTAGTAAGCGAAGAGCGTATTACTGCAGAGGCTAAATGCTAACAGCAAACAGGATGATTTAGGACCATGGATCCAAAGTATTGTTACATATACAACTATGGTACTCTAGGCTTCCTAACTTACTGAACCATTGTACAGCGCTCCAGGATTCTGCCACTACCTTCCTTCCAGTCAATTGGACATGCACTGAATTGAGATGGAGTTGGGAGCACCCCAAGACTCAGCTTGTGATGGAGCACGCTATGCAACTGAGAAGTAGGTGCTAGCAGTACAGGAGAGGTTAGAATGAATTGGTACATTTACCAGAAAAAGTTGAGGGGACCTTTAGCTTAAGAGCACAAGTTACACACACAATCCTGCTTTCTGATTGGACCAAAAAGGTTGTAGCCTATGGGAGAGGTGGCGTTTTTTTTAAATAAACGACGTGGCTGTAGTGAACAAGTCTCATGCATGTTGCATTTTTACACTAGTATCGGGCACAAAGAATTGTCCTGCTGTGACAGACCTTCCCTGTAATCACAGTATGTTGTTCCCTGCAGAGAGAGGGAATGCTTTAACTGTGTGAAGCAAATGCTTTGCTGTCAGCAAATCTGAATAGCAGCTCATGCTTTCGAAGCTTATGCGGGAGTCACGGGTGTGACACGATGTACATTTAATACTTGCTAATCGATGTAATATGTTGCTATTTGTGTATTTGCATTTAAATATTTGACTAAACTGAAACTGGTTCATTTTGTCTGCAACTATGAACAGACCCGTGTTTGTGTATGTAATACTCAATGTGATTAAAATATCAGATAACTCAATGCTTTTTCGATTTGTGTCAATTGTTTGTAGTGAGTAGATTTTTTTTTTTTAATACAAGTGGCTGAAGCCTAAGACTTACAACATGAAGAAACTAGCTTCTGCCACAGCTGACTTCTCAAATCTCCTACATGGAGTGACACAAACCTGAGCCTTTCTGTTGGAAATTACAGGAAAGGACTCCTGCTGTAGTCTGCCTCTTTGCTTATTCTTAAAAACATACTTTTATTACTGTGAATTAATGGCAGGGTTCAGAGATTACAGATGCTCAGAAAAGAACACAAGCTACTTAGACAGAGTTCAGATACTGAAGATGTCCGAGTTGTCTTTGAAAACAGCCCACTGCAAATGTTGCTGTCGCCCTGAAATCCCAGAAGATGTAGGTCATACACTATCTATCTATCTATCTATCTATCTATCTATCTATCTATCTATCTATAATTAATTCTCACAATCACAGTTAATATTTTCAGTAAAGGGAAAATTACTTTAATTAGTTCTCTGTGTATAGTATTATCTATGGGTAGATACTTATGCTCCTCCCCTGGAGAGCTGGCCTTTAAAGGAACTAGCTGATGCAAACAAGAAAATAGTTATGTCCCTAAGGAACAGCGCAGCTCTAAAAGCAGTGTCTCAGAACTGAACCTTGACCAGTAAAGTTTGGAATCTGCTCCATTGCTTGGACTGAATTTGAACCAGAAGGTTAGTGACTGGTTCCTAGAATGATAGTGTGAAACGTTCTGTCCCATAGGAAGGGACATTTATTTTTCATTCACTAATTAGTTTAGGCAGAGCACCTGCATTCTTAAAATAGAGCCTTAAAGAAAAGTCAAGGCAGAAAGATGATCCAAAAAGCTTAAAGAACAAGACCCTTTTCTGCTTGCAGTAATTTGAAACATCAAAATAAACCCAGATCAATTTACAATAATGTTTAGACTATACAGACTGTCAAATTGAAAGTCACTTACAAACCAAGTTTCCGTCCTGATTTACACCTTAGCTTCAAGTGATTATTTTAAAGTGGTTTGTTTACTACTTTGCATTTCATTACAGTAAGGACAGAAGTACAATAGCCAGTTTCTGATTCTCATCCAGCAGCTAACACCACAATGTTTTGGGTTGTGATACTGCCAGAGAAGGCTTACTTTAAAAACAACCAACCACCTTCAATCTGCTGCAATGTTGTAACATTTCCATGAGATCTACCTTTTGTATTTTGCATAATTTGGTCTGATAATGGCTCTTAAACAATCTCCAAATAAGACAGTGATAAATTGAAAAAATTCTGAACTTTAATTTTCAAATATCCACATACAACTCATAATACCGATGTTCTCCCTCTCATGTTCACACTGGTTTTCCTTGAAATGTCAGGGCTATTTCGAGGAGCTCTTTACCCAGTTTTTCCTGCTTTCCTCCCAAAGTGAATTCTGCAGACAGCTCCCTGAAGGTGACACAGATCCGGCGATGCTCAATGTGCTTGCGGTAAATTGCATGTTTCCACTTATAGCGTGCATCTCCAGACAGCACAATCAGGGATCTCCTAGGTAAGAGAATGTCTACAGTAACTTCTTTGTATGGAATAAGTCTTGGGGAAGATGAGTGGTCCATATCCCAACTGTCTACATTTTCACATGCTGATGTGGGAGTAAGGTTGTTTGGTTTATGGGTCTGAGAAACTTGAGGTGAGGCAGAGTGATTTGATTCCCCGCTTCCTTGACTGTGAGTGGCAAATAACTGAAGACTGTCCTCTGAATCACAAGACATGGACAGCACAGTTTTTGAGAGCAAGTTTAAGCTAACCAGTCGCCCCCCCCAAAGCCACCAGTCATCAAAGTGTGGGTCAATGGCAGAACCTCTTTCAGGTAGATAGTCCAGGTTACACTGCTCAACAGGAAAGAAATCCTCTAGCGCAGAATGAGCCTTCATTCGCTGCACAATCTCCTGGCTAAAACTGGGCAAGCCAATGAAACCACCAGCTTTCAGCTTCTTTTTCTTAAAGTTCACTTTGGGCCCATAGTCCTGTTGAAAAGGAAAACCAGATGATGTTAAATAAAAATCTGGGGCCTGGTTTTCTAGGGAGGCACTATCCTCTGGACAAACCAAGGAGCCCTGGGTCTCTTGGGTTCTATTCCCATCTTCACCAGTGACTTGCTGGTGCAAGTCATGTTCTGATAATATGACCCCGTGAAAGTTGTATAATCTTGTATTCAGTTTTCCTCTCTATGGACACTGGCGTGATATGAGGTTGTATTTGAATGTGCACTATCAAGTGTAATTCATAACGATCACAAATGCACTCTTGAGAGAACATAAGAATGGCCACATTGGGTCAAACCAAAGGTCCATCTCACCCAGTATCCTGTCTTCCAACAGTGGCCGATGCCAGGTGCCCCTGAGGGAATGAACAGAACAGGGAATCATCAAGTGATCCATCTTCTGTCGCCCATTCCCAGCTTCTGGCAAACAGAGGCTTAGGGACACCACCATTGCCCATCCTGGCTAATTTCAAATACAATTATGGTTTTGTTATTTCAAAAAGAATCAATTTAATGAAAACATTAAACCTAAAGCATGATTTTTAACTGAAGAAATAATCTCCTTCCCCAGAGGGAGTTAGAAATAAGCATATTTCTGGAATCAGACCTGCTTCCTTCGGCCAGACTGCGATAGTTTCCAGTCATCTTGATCCATCAGCTGAACCATCTCCGATTCCTCATCTTGGTTTATAAACTCCTCCAGCAAGAACACGCCTGGAAATGGAAATGCCCAGCCAGCAAACTCTGAGCATTCATTTCCTACTGCTAAACCTGCTGCTGGACAATAAGTGAAGTTACCCTTTTCCTGCAGAAATAAAAAAGGACACAGCAAGATAAGACACTGCCATGATATCTGTTGTTACAGCATTGCAACAGGTAAGCGATGCATAAGACTGTTGTAGAGTTAAACCGTTATACTGCTTGTCTTCATGGAAATGTCTCCCTCCTTTTATAGTTGCATCTTTGCAATGCAGGTTAATAGACGCTGTCTTTCTTTAACAGTGACATCTATAGTACAAGCCACCACTGGAGGAAAAATAAACTGTGCATTCTTAAAACAGTGTATATGTGAGGGATTATTGCCCCTCTCCCATCCCTCAGTGCTCCAGGTTGCAACCAACTTCACTGGGGCAAAGACTACTGGACTCCCTGCAAAACCAGGGGCACCTCTACCAATGCTGCTGGTTAGAGTAACAAAATCCTATGCTTTAAAAATGGATCCACTGTCTGGTGCACTAGCCCTAGGGCTGCCCCAATAACGATTTTGTGTGTCTTTTCTGCCTCTAGGTGAAATGTGAGCAACTGACTCTGGACTGGGTGTGGGTTGGCCAACTGGGGTGCTCCAATTGTATAACTAACAAGTCTTTTGATGCATTTGACACAGGCCGAAACAGGAAGTGATCCAGATCAGGCTTGACAGTGCCGCACACTAAGTCGAAGCAACATCTCCTGCCCTGGCTAGAGGGGATGCCCTCTGAAGCTCGTTAGCATTACTCCTAATCAGGTAGAGATCAATGTCATGCTCATGCTCCGCAGGCCTGGGTGTTGCCTGAAGCTATCTCCAGTACCATGCCCTGGAAATGCCAAGGGCAGGGGCTGCCCTTGTGGGGTTTCCTCTACCTGGCAGGAGTGGGGGAGGGCAGTGGAAGGGAATCAGCTGATTTTACAGATCTCCCTCGAAGGAAGGAGGGGGAGGATGCAAAACCCTTCCAGCTAGGGAGAGGCAGACACAGCCCCCTCTGCCGCTCTCTGTTCCTCGGGGGCAGCAAGGGGGCAAGAGGTATTGGGGGGGGGGGGG